CAAAGGGTGTCATTGGTTTTGGAGCTGAAGGGTCTCCCCTCAACAACATGACCCCAATTCATATGTTAACCACAGCAATTATTTGCATATGGTCCCTCAATTATAAAGCTAATGAGGAGATTATGGGAAACGCATGCTGAAGTTGGCCCTCAGAATGTCCATTGTTATCCTGTAGTTGCAGATGAAAGCCTGTGTGAGGTTTTAGCCAAAGCCACTGAACATTTCACCTCATACATCACTGCTGTAACTAATACCGCTGCTAATGTCTCTCCCACTAAATTAGCTGGGAATCCAGAGCCAATTGAAACAGCAAAATGTCGCTAATTTAGTGATCCTTTCAGCTTTCACTTTAAATGACTCACAGAAGACCATTAAGAATGGATATATCTTTATTTTAAAAACCAAAATTCCAAATCCTGGCAACCACGTAAGGAATATTCTCACTATGTTCTACAGCAAGGCCTTTCATGCAACCTTCGCTCCCTTATAGATGTTTAATGGCTCAGAGACACGGGCACTCAGCCTTGGGCATGAATACCATACAATGGCATCCTTAGCTGCAGCAGGCAGCCTCAGAAAAAATAAACTCTTCCAACCGTATCCGTTTTCTCATCACCACTTTCCTGAGTGCCGAGCTATTCTCATCATTATACCCCCACATTCAGCCATCTGTAGGGGATCCCTGCTGCTCCATTAAGGCCATACTGAGGCTCACAAACCTCTGATTGCATGAGCCATCAATAGCGCTGATTATAGGAGTTAATTAGGCTGCTTGGCTTGCATTAGAGAAAGGCTTTATTTTCATCATAGATGGTTAAACTGTACAGTTCTGATGCAACGGCAGTGATTCGGTCGCTGTTGCAGTGTTGCATCACCATCGTCTGGCACAGGAAATGGCAATATGCTCACTAGTGGTTAGCATTCAGCATATGGAGTAGAGTTATCTGTTGCTGTAAGGGAATTTCAATGGAGCTTTTTCCCCTGCTGACTGCTATTCATTTACACCATGCATTGCTTCAATTCTCAGTGCTCGTGCCCTGTCAGCTCCATCAGTGTTCTCGGAGATGGGCTGACCCTCACGTCCTGAAGAACAGCGTGCATGCATGCATGTGTGTGTGCATGTGTGTGTGTGTGTGTGTGTGTGTCCCACATGTGCTACGTCTCTCTGACATGTGCACAAAACCAATTAGTTTTGGGATGGTGAAGTAGCCGGCTATGGGAAAATGACAATGGAGTAATTGAAGAGGCCGGCTGAATGAGAGGCCAGACAGCTCAATGCAGCTGTTACACAAGTACCCAATGTTTTCTCCACGGACAAAATGGACAGGGAGAAAAGAGAGTTCTGAGAGAAGGTGGTCTTCTTTAGTTGTAGACAGTAATTAACATTACGGCCCTTTTATTTTGCTGACATTTGTTTTAAGGGCGAGACACGGCTCGTCGTGTAGTTGCATCAAAAGCTCCTTAACAGTGGTCCTGCAGACTTTAGTTTATTTAATACAAATCCAATTAGCTTCAGATCAAAGCCAACCATTTTACAGACAATGCTGCTGTGTTTCAGGTTTAAATGTGTTTTTCCAACCATGCCAACGCAGCCTTTGACTTGCAATCATCTCTGAATTATATAGAATTCAATTAGCAGACTCTTAATATGGGCTTAACTTGTTTGTCTTTGTCACACATTGTCAGAATTTCATGAATTACTAAACTTTACATCATGCGCTAAAGCAGATCTTCAGAGAATTATCATGCTACTTTGTTGTTGTGGAATACTTCAGCGTCTTTGACCATATAAGGATATATAAGAATATACAGCACGTTGCGACGTGTAATGATACGATAGTCGACAATACAAAACGATTCGATATGATACACTTCACTGTACCTGTAGGGGTTTTTGTCTTGTAAATTAATCATTCAATTTACTGTAAAGATTTATTCTTAAATGTCTCACAGCAACCTTTTGGCCAGTACAGACCGTTATGCATCATAGATGATCTTAAAACATTCTGTACCCTAAGTGACTAGCTTACTAACATAGTGGCGCATTTTTCTTCAACAGAGCCGGATACGTCTTTTGGGGGATTATAAGGAAAACTGGGCCAAAGATGGGTTAAGGAAGAATGTAATAATATCAACATTTCTCAATACGATAATATCACGATAACAAGTCCTGGGTGTGATAATTATTAAAATATTTTTTTTAAATGAAAAGAAAATTGAAGACTTGGACTCCGGCTGGACTTTGTACACAAAACAAGTCACACTCACAGTATGTCTATCATTTTGGCTTACCTTCTCTATGCTACTATGTACCTACCTTCAGCTGTTGCTGTGAATAAGAAACTGTTTGATTAAGACGACCATATCGACTTAAAAGTGTGATGAATCGCTAAAACACTGGTCTGCTCCTCCTGAGGTATTACATCATCAAGTATTGAGTTTTTTCAGAGAGACAGTAGCTCTGTTTATCTTCTTGTTATCCATTTCTTTTTTGAAAAAAGAACCAGAGATCCTTCCTGTCGTGCTTCTTTCTGAGAGACCATCTCCCGTTCGATATTATCTGACGCCTCACAGCTTTTGGCACAGCACTCCCAACAGCTCTGTGTTTTTGTCTGGGGCCTCAGCAGTCTGTGCTTCAATGAGCTTTATTTACTTTGGCTACTCCAGTTCTGTCAGCACAAGATACATACATAAGATTTGTGATGTACGGCTTCTGATTGTGTGTCCCCAAGAATTCTGTATTCAAATAAGAAATCCGGCTTGGAACTGTATCGTGTTTAAGATGCAGTGATACTCTGTCTTAGACTCTAAAAATCCCTGATTATGCAGGATTTTGACTTATCCCACATCTGTAAAGTGAATGTGTTAGAATAAGAACAAACACTTCATTTGAATATGGTAAAATCTGGCTGTTTTTAGCTGTTTCTATGCTCACTGTTCAGACAGAGTGTCAGGAGTTCAAGGCCCCAGTGGGTAGTTTCTAGTCTTGAACAGCCCCACTTGAGTTCCCACTGTGTGAGGGAGTTTGCTCACAGCAATAATTATAGCACACATACACACAAATGAGCACAGGCACACATATACTGTACGCACACAAAGACACACACATGCTGACCAGCTTGAGCTGAGCTGCTACACCTCATTAAATTGGGAAATGAATCCTGGATGAAGCACTGGCTCCTCTCCAAATAAAAATCACAGGGCTTTTAGGGTTTCACCATAAAAATGTAAAATGAACTCAGTTATTCTCCTGCTGTCACAGACCATCCCTTTTTTAATTTTACTGCTGAACTTTGAAGAAAGAGCTGTATTTTTTAAAGTAGGTTTAATAACTTTTTAAATTAACAAAATGTAATTGGCACTGAAAAGCGATTCCAAAGCAATACCTTTCAAATCACCTCAAATGGATCTCGTATAAATGACATCCAATTGTAAATTTCTAACACAGCCAGTTGAAACTCAAAAGTAGGTCCTCTTGCTTAGTGCAGGTTCAGGAACCCAGCCTGAAGGCTTGGATCTTTTTATCTCAAAGCCGGAGTTGTGTGATGGTGTCCGCAGCAGAGTGATTGGCTGCCCTGGGTGAAAAATAGAGGCCGTCCCACGAGTGGTGTAGCTCAAGCCAGGGGCAGCGGACGTTAGCTCTCGGTTTCTTCCCAAGCCACCAGACACCAACTCTGATTCATGACTAAAGGGCAACGCTAACAAATGCATCAGATCCCCAAGGAGAACCAGGCCGGGGTCTGGATGCTCAGCTGTCTAGCCTCTGGTCCCAGACTCCTCTGCAGACCAGACCCACTCCCAAAGGCAGGAGAGCAGAACACAAATGCTCTCCGCCTTAAACAGGCTCAATTTGATTCTTTCAAACAGTTACCAGCGTTAATATCCCAAATTTGATGTGCTTTTCCGATAACACAGCAAATTAGCTTCCCTAAGCTCTAAATTAAGCTGTGACATTTTAATACTGTGGCAACCAGCAGACGCCTGGGGGGGGACACAGACAGGAGAGATAAAAACAGGTCGGACTGCGGTTGTTAAAAGAAAACGACTTCTCCGAGTCTCATTGCTATTCATCTGCAAGCTGCTCTCACATTTCATGAAAATAATGAATAATGCTGATCATTTCTTTTTCTTTTTTAAAGCTGAAAAATGCAGATGAATATGAATTTAAAAGAGCTAAATCATTAATGCTTTCTGGAGCTCAGGTCACACGGTGACAGTAATTATTTCAATATTTGCGTTTTGCTCTTCAGCTCGTTCAAAAAGAATTGCACTCTGTTGGGTTAAATTATGTTAGGACAAGGCTGAACTGCCTGGCAACAACATAAGAGTCATCCCTTTCTGTTTTGTTCTCTGGTCTATTCACAGTTCACCAACCTTCCTGCACAACCGTTTTGACAGAACTATAATTAAAGTTTTTCTAACAAAAGGAAATCCCCCCCCTCATCAACAGTTAATTATTGGCCAACCAGCCGTACACCAGTTGGTCCTAACCTGTAAACATCACCCTGTTGAACACACCATATGTCCTCATTGAGTGTCCACTGAGGTGTCAGAGATCAGCTCGATCACACCTGATGTTTCCCACTACACTTGTCTCATGAAAGAGTGATGGTTCAGTGTCTGAAATCTGACCTCGCTGCAGATCACTTCAGTCAGTCAATCAAAGAGATGAAGCCGAGAGTGAAATGGATGGTGAAGTCAGTGTCCCCCATGTCTTGTCCCTTGGCATGTCAACTGGCGGGCTCATGTGATCGATACGGCAGAGAAGTCTGCTGGCATTGTGGCCGCGGCTGTGATTAGCCGAGCTAAATGAGCCCATGTGGGCCTCATCGGACCCTGTTGGAGATCAAAAGGATAGCTTCAAGAGATGCCAACTGCACTGCATGGCAACTAACATCCATCCATGGACAGAGTTATATTCAAGTGTCTTTTGAACCGGCTGATAAACAAAATACATCGCTTTCATCTCTGACTCTCCCTCTCTCTTCCTCTCCCTGCAGTTGTGGATGTGCACGCGTCCTCACACAGTGTGACAGACAGGCATCCCTGTGATCCAGGTCAGACCTTTTGCGTCAAACGCCGATGATGGAGAGGAGGAGGATGGACGCGTCACTGCTGGTGCTGCTCCTGGGACACCTGGCAGCCGCACTGGAGGTCCCACTAGACCGTAAGACAACACATCAGACACTGACACCATCATACGCATTCATATCATTATGTCATTTTCTGACACGATATAGAGAGGGTGATTATGGAATGATGCATTCATTTGTGAAATGTGCTCATTTGCACTAGCGGTATTCTAACCTGTCAATAGTCCACTAATCACTGCAGCTACAGATTGCCTTTAGGAACACTCATTTATCAGCTGGCTATTTTTAAATTAATCGATTCATCTTTTTCCCATAAATGCTCTACAAGTAATGAAAGTTACCATTATCATATATTCCAGATGAGAGGTGACTCAGAGCAGTCTACAATATTGACCACTTTTCAATCATTTGTAAAATTAAAGCAACAAACACTCTCATTCCAATATCAAGACTAAGAAGCTGTTCAACCTTTTGTCCTATAAGATAACACTTTTTATAATTTCAATAGTTACAGAATCATTTTAAAGTATTGGCCTTTAAAGTAAGTATTATACATCTGTATATACATGTATTAGCTTCTTGTTACAAATGTGTCATCTGTGGTTTCAGTTTATATTTTATAGCTGGAGGAAACCCTTTATTTCATTGATTATGTGAATTCGAAAATAATAGTTTTCTTTATTTTTTGCTTTGGGGGGGAAAGGGAAAGAGTTTCCATACTGACCTCCATCCTCCTATCATCACATCCTGATATCACTGCGGTTGTAGACTTGTTACTCATTCTTTGGTTGGAGCTGCTGACCACTGGAGCCTGGAAACTGACCTACATCAAACCATGTGTGAAGCAGAAATAATGCTGGAAAATATTGTTCACCACTAATGTCTGGTTTTCTTTGCTGTCATGATTGTTTCTTCTTGTTTGCTGATTCTTTGGAAAAACACTAAAGTTCTGGAAGGATGTAAGTCTGATACTAGTGTGAATTTACTGCAGAGGTTTTGCTAGCTGTTGGTTGTTATGCTGTGCATTAAAGTCCATATTTGATATTTTTCCATTATATTTTAATGCATTTCTTAGTCTGCTTTATGTTATAAAATGCAGAGTGTGATTTGGAGTGGACTTCAGTATATTGCATGTTTGTTTGCTGTTTTTGCTCTGTGTGTTTCTGCAGTGGTAGAGCAATTCCTGTTGAGCAATACTGCAAACAGCATGAGTATATTTGTCATGTCATAGTCCATTAGTTATCCCCCCAGCTCTGACAGGAATACATTAGGCATTGGATCATTACAACAAAGTGAAATGTACCTGAGCGTTCTGCATGCCTATGTCTTGTTGTTGCCCATGTTATGGGGAGTTTTTTTTATGCGTGTCAGCAAACAGTTGTGTGCTTTGATTCAGTTGGTAAGTCTGCATGTTATCTGTAATGACTGTGTGTGTGGTCAATACAGCAACAGAAAAAAAAGCTAAGTTATGCAGTAAAGGTCATGATTGAATGTTACCTCTGTCTGATCTCATTTAGTGCCGCAGCCACCGACCATAACTCACCAATCCCCCAAGGATTACATCATCGACCCTCGAGAGAACATTATAATTCACTGTGAAGCCAAGGGGAAGCCTCATCCTAGGTATGAATCTTTCTGCACTCATGGATGTGTGTCTAACAAAGGTATTCCAGGTTTGGATTCAACCAACACCTGTTAAAGTGTCACTTGAAAGGTCACATAATATACTCCTTTGCAACAAATTTAAATAAGTCTCAGAGTTCCCCAAAACATGTGTGTGAAGTTTCTTGTTGTAAATCCACTCTGATCCTGTATTTAAGCATGCCTATAAACCCCTCTATTTCAGCCCTGGTCAGAACAGGCTGTTTGTGTGTCTGTAGCTTTAAATGCAAGTGAGCTGTGTTGGACCACGCCCACTCTGGAAGAGGCATTTTTGCGTCATGCCGTATTTTTACTGTGAGAAGGCAGACTCAGAAGCAAAACAAACACCTATCTTTGGTGTCATCCTCCTGGGGGAGGGGTTACTGTCCTTTGTAATGTCACAAAGGGAAAATCTCCATATGGCTTGTTTGAGCGCACATTTTTTGAAAAGTGGAGCAGTCAAAAGACGGGGAGGATGGACTTTTAACATAATTGGGGGTTTTTGTAGACAGACTAGAGACACATATTAGTGTTTCAAAACTATGGTTAAGTGTATTTTGCGTCATATGTGACCTTTACAGCCTCAGTCGACAGCAAGTCTCAAGAAAGTTTAGAATTCCACCAGTAAAGTAATTATTTTATCCCTGCACATGCTGCCCTGCCACAGGCCGACTTTAGCAAACGCTCTATTGATACTTTAGTTCCATCTTCATCTTGTATAACACTAATTTGCCTGCACAATCACAGCACCCTTTGTACTTGTACTTTGTATACCTGCAAGGACACTCATCAAAGCAACACAGTTCCTTGTCTTCAGTGTTCATTTACCTTAACATAGCCTTAACCCGATCACCAAATCGTACAGCTGAATCTAGTACAAAAGAATCTACGCACTAACATCTTTTTCAATGCTCTCAACAGCCACATGAATTTGAATCTTAAGAATGTCTATGTGACATGAAATATCCATCACTGAATGTGGGCATGTAAGATCAAAAACAAATTCTTCTTTATGACTTTGGGAGATCAGATTTGCCCACATAAAAGCAGCGAGAAGTGTATGGAGGAAAACGTAGGTCCAAAAATGTCTTCTGTGAAATAACCATTTGGAAAAAACCTTTAATTGCCTTTTAAAGAATTTCCTCACAAAGACAAACAAGTTCAGAAATGATTCATCCATGCTGTTCTAATCTCTTAACATTTTGTCTGTCCTTGAAATACAATGTGTGGCTGTACACCTCAGAATGATTATACATTCATCTAAATTGGATACTAGCTTCACTGCTATGAACGTTGATATTTTCTTTCCAGTTTCTCCTGGACAAGAAACGGGACCCACTTTGACATCGAGGAGGACCCAAACGTCAGCATGAAGCCACACTCTGGGACTCTGATAGTGGACATCAGCGGGGCGAAGGCCGAGCAGTACGAGTGTGTTTACCAGTGCACAGCGAGGAACAAACACGGAACTGCTGTTTCCCACAACATTGTCGTACGACAGTCCAGTAAGTGCAGTGCTAATCTGTAATTTGTAACACTTCATTTGTCTCCTCTTAATGTCATGCATATCCCACATCTTTCTCACAGCATTGTTCTGTTTTTTTTTTGCTTCAAACAATTAAGTGGCATTTCCATTTTAAGAGCACTCGTGAAAGGTAAAGGTTGCATGTAGAAAGCAGCGTGTTTTTCTTAGCAGGAAGTGACAGTAGATAGAGTGAACAATCCCTTGTATTTCTCCTTTTTGTTTATTCAGTAAGGCATCCCTCGCTCAGCCTGCCTCGTCACCTCCGTCATCATGTCAGCAGCAGTCCATTAGTGACTCATATTTTCTGTCAAATTACTCTTCATCCACTGATGTCCTTCTTCAACCTTTGCAGGGTCCCCCTTGTGGTCAAAGGAGAGAATCAGTCCAATGGTGGTTCAAGAAGGCGTGTCCCTGGTGTTGCCATGCCGACCCCCTGCTGGCCTGCCCCCTCCCATCATATTCTGGATGGACAACAGTGAGCACTACACTCAATCTGAACATACCCTGCAGCACATTTACGGACTATATTATAAACGTGTCAAATTCACAATTCTTTTTTTATAGTCTGTGGCAGTCAACTCGAGGTTTTTGGGTAATGTGGTTTACTATCGTGAAATTCCAGCTTCATGCTTCTGCGCTAAATTAGAGGGTGCTTACAGTCTTATGTTAGCTCTTGTTTTTAATGTAGTTGAACAAGTATCACACTTAATTAGTTTTCATTACTTGATTCATTAAATGTGTTGATTTTAAAGGGTTAGTTCACTCAAACTAAAAAGCACATTACATAAAGTAGTATTTAACAATTCAGATATTCTCGGTTTAGTTGAGAATACGGGTCTGTGGTGCAGAGAAAATAGAAATATAGTCCCAAAGAAAAAGGGCTGCTAATGTCAATATTAAGTGTTAAAATTAAACACAAAATTTAAGTATCTGTATATAAATAAACAATAAATGCAAGACTTAGTTGTTGAAGTACACGTTTCTCATGACCCTGTTTGTGCGTTACATATCTTAGCCTCTGTGTAGAAACTCAGACAGTTATCTGCTGCATGTAGATCCCGTATTACTGATAAGGACCTCACACAACACTGCTTTAAAAACAACTGGACTGTCCCTTTAAAAAATCAACCACCACCACCACCACTATGCAGAAGCCGTTTTAGTGCTTCTGATCACATCACACAAACTTCCTCAGTGCATGCAGATTCCCACTTATGGTGGAAATGTGAGATTTACCAATTTCAAAGTTGAAGTCGCACTTAAAGGGCATTTTCTACCTGTTTCCTTAGAATGTATATGTAATATAAATTCACCAAACTAACCTTCTGACAGGTCAATTTACTGTGTGTTCTGTAGCTTTCATTTGTATCATATGTACCTTTACATTAAAGTTGGTTTAAACAGCAGAAGTTGTGTGATGAAGTTTAAAGCTACAGAGAAAAAAGCTATTTAATTGGCCTTGAGGTGAAGATGAAGATTAAACATTACAATCTAGTTAAAAGTGTTTTAAGATATTTCCCTCTGAGGTTCATGCTTCTATCCAAGATAAATAGAGGTGAAAAACCACATTAGGTTCTCATTTACTTTCTGTGGAAAAGCAACAACCTCTCTTTGGATGATTCAGTAAATGTTGTCTGTTTCACTGGTAGGACGGGGTTTCAGAACTTAGAAACAATCCTTAATTAGAATCGATTAAACGAACGCTTTAAAGAAGAGCTCTTACAGTAACATTTACTAAACTTGTTTTTGCTTCAAAGGATTTAATATTCCGTACATTTCAGACTTCCAGAGGCTGCCTCAGAGCAACAGGGTGTCCCAGTCCCTCAACGGAGACCTTTATTTCTCTAATGTGCTCCGAGAGGATTCCAGGAACGACTACATCTGCTACGCCCGCTTCCCGTACACTCAAACCATCCAGCAGAAACAGCCAATCAGCCTCAAGGTCCTCAGCCGTAAGTCTGACCGTGTGTGTGTGTGTGTGTGTGTGTGTGTGTGTGTGTGTGTGTGTGTGTGTGTGTGTGTGTGTGTGTGTGTGTGTGTGTGTGTGTGTGTGTGTGTGTGTGTGTGTGTGTGTGTGTGTGTGTGTGTGTGTGTGTGTGTGTGATGATAAAGGAAGTCAAATGAACTGGAGGTGTAATGAGCAAAACATGAGAGTGAGTGAGTTATTGTGTTAATGAGTCCACATGAGAGAGAGATCATTTATGTGTTACCACGAGTGCGTAGGAGGGAAGCAGCATTTCCTATCAGTGATTCCATCCTCAGAGACGCCAGCGGTCGTCATCCCCCTGAAAAGAAAGATTGTCAGAGCTTTGATTGCCCCGAGCTCTATCAGCCCGACAGGCGTTCATTTATTACTTCAGCATACGCACTTTCCACCAACAAAGGCCGCTCTCATTCAGTGGAGCATTTAGCTGTTGACATGATGACAGGCTGTCCTCACTACACTCCTCTATTACTATCATTCCTCATCTCTGACTCTGGATTCATTTAAAGTTTTGTTTTTTTGCACTTGTATTTTCTACTCATGTTAAGTTGATTTTAATTTCTCATGTGACTGATGATTTCAACTTGTGGCGTGTTTGATTTCTTTTTTTGTTTCTGTTGTGTTACAGTGGATGCAATCAATGACACAATGGCAGCTTTTTACAATGACACTGATTTATTTAGTGGTGAGTTTTTAGCACCCACTAGTGTTCACCCTACCCGACCTAGTGCTCCAGAGTCTGAACTTTCTACCCACTAACACTTACCCTTAAATCCAGCAAACCCACAGACTTGTTAGACTCTCACCGGGGTGAGGTCTAGCACCCTCTAGTGTTAACACCCCTTCATAGACACTCAAACCCTGATTTTTTACCATTTACATTAACCCCTTAATCCAAGAATCATAGTTAGCTTTTCCCCCTCCTTCACTCCTGATCTATCCAATCAAAACCCTTTTAATAACTGACAACTTCCTCCTTTTAAACTGTAACAGCATGGGGATTTCTTTTTCTGATGAGCTGATTTTTTGCAAATGTTACAACATGTCTACAGCTTTAAAAACAAGAATGAATTCCAATTGAAAATAAATATAAGGCTAAGCATATACATTGAATTGATGGTAAACTACGAGTTTGATTACAGCAGCTCTTGAAAGTAAAATATGTAGGGATGCATCAAGGGTTAAAATCAGGGCTGATACAGATTACTTCTGCAGTTCAGCAAATATCTGTAAATGGGGCAAGAATCAGCCGATACCAATACTCAGCCTATATATCGATGTATCCCTGTCATGATTCAAAATTCTCTTCCGTGATTGCCAAACCTCTGTGAGACAGAAATCTGCCATCTTCATTCTCATAATCACCTTTTTTTCCTCTCATTTACTTCATCTCCTTTAATCCCTTATTTCTTAGAATATCTCTCTTTGTTTGAAATATACCGGACGCTGGCTGAATGAACACATGTAAACAGTTTCTACTCATAAAACTGATCATGCCAGATTGTAAAGTTATTGTCATGACTGTTATCGTAAACATTTTGTTGGATGATGTTCGTAATTTTTTTTTTTTTGGGAAGAATACATCTTTACCTGCACGGTAAAACAAAGCACATTTCATCTCTCTGATTATCAATTCTATATTAGGATTATTGTAGTGTTTATTATAACCCTAGAGGGCGATTTAATGTGATTAAAAGAGCCACAGAAAGCCGCAATAAAACAACAACATGACTATAACATTTATATCCAACCATAAAATGAGAATAGTGGTCTGTAATGAAGTGGTTTAGTGCCAGTGCATTTACTTGTAGGGGAGAGGTTTCGTTATACCACAGAGTACAACAAGAAAGGAGTCTGATTTTGAAGGCCCTGTAAGAGGTGGTAATGGTTTGATTGTGAATCTGTGTGTGTGTGTGTGTGTAACTGTAGACGACCCTGCGGATGAGAGGAAGCCAACCTTCCTCGTCCCATCTGGCCCCTCCAGCTCCAAAACCGTGCTGAGAGGACAGGTGCTGGAGATGGAGTGCATCGCCGAAGGACTGTAAGTGAAAGAATCTGCCATTACTTCAGCTCTGAGCGCCTCGAGTGCCCACCTGCTCGAGTGTCATCGTCGCTCTTTGTCTCGTCTTCCTTTGAATCCAGGCCCACCCCGGATATCTCCTGGACCAAAGTGAGCGGCGAGCTCCCCGCCAAGCGCACGTATTTCCTGCACTACCAGCGGACTCTTCGCATTGAGAACGTGTCGGAATCAGACGCTGGAGATTACCGCTGCACCGCCAAGAATAAGCTGGGCTCGGTGCACCACAACATCCACGTCATGGTCAAAGGTTTGTCTGATATAATAATGTGCAGATTCCAATCATTCACTCCGTCTGTCTGTCTCTTCATCCTCCCTCTACGTCTCATAATTGATTTATGCACATATGCCAACAGGGCAGTGTGTTCAGTGATTAATTCTCCAGCCGTCTTCTGCGCTCTGTTCTATTTTCAGCCGCTCCTTATTGGATCAGCGCACAGCCCAGAAACCTTGTTCTCGCTCCGGGAGAGAACGGGGTGCTGACCTGCAGAGCCAGCGGCACGCCCAAGCCCTCTATCACCTGGGCCATGAACGGCATCCCCATAGAGAGTGAGTGCAGCCTGCTCCGTCTTACTGAAACTCCATCTGCTAACAAAAAAAGAAACGTACCGGTCTCTATGGCAGTACATGACTTTTTCTAAAAAGCTGAATATTGTAAAGTTTGATTTTTTGAGAATACTTTTCTGAATCACAGATTAGTAAATACCTCTGGTCTGCATACCATATTGAAGATTGGATTTACAATCCCCGAGTTTGATAATCAATACTTGATCAAAGCTTTTTTTTAATGACTCATAGTTAAAAATATTTTAAAAAATTCACCTTAAACACTTTTTTTTTACACATATTAAGCAAAAAATATTTGCATCAGTTTTTCATCTGCTCTCAAAGTAGTGTTTCGAAATATTTAATAATTATGCCAATTATTGTCAGCATACGATGGTCAGGCATCGAGAGGGGGAACTCTAATTTTAATTACTGAGTTTGAGAGGTTAAGCTGACAGACTTTAGACAGAGCTACACTAAGTTGTCCCCATTTTCTGAACCTAACTGGCTGGCTGTAGCTTCATATTTAAAGTACAGCTGTGTGAGTGGTATCAATTTCTTCCTTTAAGAATGCCCTTTTCTCCAAACTAGTAAACTGTAACCTAAACACGGAGCATTTCAGAATAAAATGTGTATATAATATAAAATAAAAAAGATTAAAATGACTAATAGTGTCATATCAGTGCAGAAATATCTGATTAAACATTTTGAACAAGACTAATTAATTCCAGATTCAAGCTGTTTGCAGTCTTCAGTAATCTGTGCTACAGACACATTTTGCTCACTATTTAAAAGTATTACTGATACTCAGCTTTACGTGAGATACTCAAACCTCCCGTCAGCATGTTACTCTCTACAGTTACTACACAATGAATCCAGAATTCAAATAACCAGAGTAACATTTGTAACCCTTGATCAGATTCTCCAAAGGATCTGAGCAGAAAGGTGGAGGACGACACCATCATCTTCACTGATGTGCAGACGGGATCAAGCGCCGTCTACCAGTGTAACGTCTCCAATGCCTACGGCTACCTCCTGTCCAACGCCTTCATCAACGTGCTCTGTAAGTTCATTACCTCAAGCTCCATTTTTTTTATCCAGAATGCTGTTTTCCATTCACATTGATTTTCTGAGTGTAATAACACAGCATTAATGGCCGCTGTCTCTCTACAGCCGAGCCGCCCAGAGTGCTGACACCAGCCAACAAAGTCTACCAGGTCATCAAAAACCACCGGGCCCTGATGGACTGCGCCTCCTTTGGGTCACCCATCCCTAAAATTACCTGGTGAGTTGATTAACTTTAACAAGGGTGAAGTTTTGTTTTATGTTTCTTTTAAAGCTCAAAGAGCACGTCCCTTTGTGTCTCAGGTTCAAAGACAGCCGGTCGAGCACCCTGGATGGAGATCCTTACATCCTCCATGACAACGGGACTATAGAGATACACACAGCTCAAGCACACAATGCTGGAAAGTACACCTGTGTGGCCAGGAACTCACTGGGGAAAGAAGAGAATCACATCCTCCTCGAAGTCAAAGGTGAGAGTGTCCTCAGTGAAGATGATGCCTCACATTTAGCCGTATTCACACATAAACTGAAGACTCTTTCTAGATCATTCAGGATTGTCTGATGAAAGTCACATAGAAGCATTTTCATCACCTAATTTTGCTGCTTTATTACTTGTATTGACCATTTGTCTGTATCTTTATAATTGTATCAAAATAATGATTAAATGATCAGTCAAAAAATGATATTTTGTTTGCTCAGGTAAAAAGGACAGTTTTAACCCTGTTCTTATCCATTATATTTACTTAGTATTATAAATGATGCTCAAACTCTGATGCATTTTGTTCAGATTCTCTAATTTGAATCATTTAACTTGGCTCAAACATCTGACCAAACCTTCTCCCCCTTCCGCCAGAGCCCACCCGGATCCTGAAGCAGCCAGAGTATAAGGTGGTCCAGCGGGGCCGCTCGGCAGTGTTTCAGTGTAAAGTGAAACACGACCCCTCGCTGATCCCCACCATGACGTGGCTCAAAGACGACGGAGAGCTGCCTGATGATGAGAGGTGAGAACTGCGTGGAGAGATGTCTCACGTTTAGACCGTTATCCCCAACTACATCTATGGAACCACTTTACTTTGAATTACATCAAACTCTTATAGCTCTGTTTTTGTTTGTTAGATTTTGTTTGACTACTTTTCTGAATAAGAAAAAAAACACACATTATTTTTTAAGTGGTATATATGAATGCTTTTTTTCCAGGTTTTACGTAGACTCGGACAGCCTCACCATCACCGAGGTGTCAGAGATCGACGCGGGCGTGTACACCTGCATCATGAACACGACTCTGGACCATGATTCAGCCAGCGCTGAGCTCACTGTTGTCGGTACGTTCAGCCTTTCTGAAACCTCAATTTCACTGACTCACAAATTATTAAAGGTCTTCCCGGAAAAGTGAATCTGTCCAATAACTCACAGATCAGATTTCCTTTCAGAGCTTCAAGGTTAATTGCCTGAGAGTTTACTGAGAAGGTGATTTAGTCATCGTGTCAGCAGCATTAATATTTGATTGTTGCCGTCTTAGCGAGCCAGATAGACTGCTTTGTTGTCTTACGGCTAACCGACTACTTAACTCCCTTTCTTACTCCCACCGTCCTACCTGGCAGAGGCCACGCCGACACCAGCTGTTGTCATTGGTAACTGCAGAACACCTGAGCACCCAGCTGTGCTCTGCTGACATTGTGTGTCTGTTGTATGTTTTTGTTAAGTGGAGCATGCCGTGGCCTTATTTTTGACAATCCCTGAGCTTTTTTTATTTGTTCTTCTCATTTTGATTCAACAGTATTTGATGGATTGTCTTCGTCTTTTTGAATAACAGCCTGTTTTCTGGAGTGTATTTTGTAATCTTTTTTGAAAAAATGCATGAAGTCAAAACACATTAAACCATTGATGCAAAGGAAAGATTCTGCAATGGGAAAGTGATTCTCACTCTTACTTAAATGCAAAGATCGTTTGAAAATCCGACATCTCACTATTGCACTGTTTGTGTAACGCTCCAGATTCATATTTCCCTCATCACTTTTTTATTCAAAGCACATGTTCCACTTCATCATCACAATTTCAATCATGAGCTTCAATTTAGGCTCCCTTGGAGCTGGAGACTCTGTTTCATGCAGAGTGTTTATGGAAGATGCTCACTTGAACATCAGTGATTTTATTATGCATGATTCAGTGTCTGCATGTGTCGCATTGAGCAAAGAATGAAGAGAGACATGTCAGGAAGACGAGGAGATGTAAAAGTAAAAGTTGTTGCATGTTTTAACCAACAAACCTGACATGTTTTTCTTTGTTTGTGACCATGAAGCTCTCTTCTGTTTTTGTTTTATCTTCCCGTGGCATGCACGCTTCATTTCCTCTAGCTATAACTGTGTGTTGATGTCGCTGCCTGTGCTGTATCTCCTCCAGAGCGACCCGACCCCCCTTCTGACCTCGAGCTGACAGACCAGAAAAAGAGGAGTATTCAGCTTACTTGGACCCCTGGGGATGAACACAACAGTCCAATCCAGAGTATGGCTTTATTGTTTGTATGTGTTCGTGTGAGGGTATTTGTGTTAGTTTGGTGGTCTTCTGTTTTGGATGAATTCATCCTAACTGATTGTAAAATCACAATCATATGAACGAGACCCAGCGTTTGTATCTGTACACTTAAAATGATTTCAAACATGGAGTTGTCATGTTTTCTAATGGAAAGCTTGCATTTAAAACTTCACGTGTTTCATTGAAAATAATTGGGTTCATCTGATGCAAAGAGAGACTAACTGAAGAAACTTCAAAGTTGCATTATGGGAAATGTAGGTTAAAGGGTGTTTTGTAGGACAGAGCCGAACACAGAACAGATTGTCGATATAGTTCATGCCTTCCTGTTGTAATTTAGACATTTTTTTGCAAACCGTTTCTTAAGACCCCCCAAAAATACGAATGTGCACACTCTCCGTGTCTGTGATTTCGCTTTAGCTCCAGCTTGAAATAATTTGTCCATCGATCAATGCTTTAACAGCGTAAAAAAATCCAAACATCCATAAAAATGTCTCAACCATTTACTGCAGCAGAATCTGGTTGTCGATTTCTATCAGTATGCGCAGAACGATGCCAACACTCATACTCTATAAACATTTACTTTACACCTCAAAGCACAGCCAGAGGAGCATGTCAAGACATATTTTAGTAGAACTTGAGTTATCTTGAGTGCATTCCTTCTTTTAGTCATACAACTACACTATCAGTGTACTCAGCTATTAACACTACTTGTATTTTCTTCACTTTGCACAGAATTTCTGATTCAGTATGAAGACTCACTGCACCACCGAGGTCACTGGCATAATCTAACCGAGGTTCCTGGAACCAGGACGACAGCTCACCTCAAACTGTCACCCTACGCCCACTATACCTTCAGAGTCCTTGGGCATAATGCTGTGGGTTTCAGCCGCCCCAGTTTCCCCTCCAGGGTGTACAAGACAGAACCCGCAGGTACACACTTCAGAATTATGGCTTCAGAACATGAATCAGAAAATGTCCTTCCATGTCCATCTGATTCAAATGTTATACAGTGCACATACAGTGCAATGCCTTGCTCAAGGGCACCTCTCCAGCTACCAGACCAACTTCCAGACTTGGTCCTCACCGGGACTTGAAACAGCAAACCTCTGGTTCCCAACCGAAGTCCCCACAGAATGAGCTAGTGTCCCCTGTTACCGTGGAGAATTCATTATTTTGTCTTTTTTATTGTCTTTTTTTTAGCTCCTGATGAGAACCCAACAGGTGTACAGGGATTGGGGACACAACATGATAATCTTGTAATCTCATGGAAGGTAATCAGTTTTTTTTCCTGACGAGCTGTTTCTAATATCTTGAAGCATTAAGTGTTGTCCAGGGAATACCATGAAACATCCAATGTGTCCTTGTTCTTTGAAGTGCAAAGTGCAAATTCATTCTCTGACTGAAAAGTCAATTGAAAGATAAGTAACATTCAAAACGTTCTCTTCTGCAGCCGCTGACAGGCCTCCAGTCTAACGGTCCAGGGCTTCACTATAGAGTTATGTGGAGGCAGAAGGCGGTGAACAGCGACTGGAACACAGCGAGTGTAGTGAACACCTCCAAGTTTGTTGTGTCTGGAACGCCCACGTTTGTTCCATACGAGCTAAAAGTTCAGGCTGTAAACGACCACGGAGCGGCCCCTGACCCTGCTATCGCCCATGGCTTTTCAGGAGAGGACTGTGAGTTACACTGACTCTTACAATGACCTTTTAAGACCTTTAAAGACCTTAAGAAATTGATTTTGCAAGTTTCTCTGGGAATACATATGTTAGTCTTCTTCCCTGTTTATTTATCTGTTGTTGTTTTCTTCATTCGTTGTCCAGTGCCGGTAGCAGCTCCAAACAATGTGCAGGTCATGGTGTTGAACAGCACTCTGGCAGAGGTGCACTGGGACCCTGTGCCCTCAAAGTTTATACGTGGACATCTCAAAGGATATAAGGTACGGTACAAAAGCGAGCGTAACATGCACACCAATCCAAATAGCAATAGTCCGTCAATAATGGAAAATAACTGTTTCTTGTAGGTGTACTACTGGAAAGAGCACAGCCTGCATAAACACAACCCCCACCATGTGGAGCAGGAGATCCTGACCTTCAGCGGGAACCATACTCACGGCAAACTGCCCGGCTTACATCCCTACAGTCTCTACTCCTTCAATGTCAGGATCTATAACGGCAAGGGGGAGGGTCCCGCCAGCACCACCCAGGAGTTTGAGACCCCTGAAGGAGGTAGGACCAGAGAAAATGTTCTTTCTTTCTTTCTTTTCTTTTTTAAGCATTGTCTCAATTACGAAACGTAACTTTAATCCAAAATTGATGATTAGGTTAAATTATAGTAGTTATAAAACACTTAAAATTAAAAAAAACAAAAGCTTGCTTTGAGCTGTGATGTCATAAGAATATGAGAGGTAAACTGTCCTCTTGTGTATTTGGACAGAAAGCTTTATGCACAATTAAAATCGACATCCAAATGAATTAAGAGCAAGCAAAACATGCTTCTTATTAAGAAGCAGACCCCCTGACTGAGACTTTATGTGGAACCCTCTTCAGCTTTTTATCTGATGAACTGTATAAGGTGTCATGATTTCTCTTGTTCTTTAGTGCCGGGGGCTCCTACTTCCCTGTTAGTCACCGACACAAACCTGGACTCTCTGACTCTTGAATGGAGTCCTCCTCATGTCCGCAATGGACGCATCACTGGCTACACCCTCAAATATCAGCCAGGTGAGTGTTTCTCCATAAAATAAAAGCTGAGCTGTTAGACTTGTGTCACCTTCCTTCATGTAGTTAATAGTTCTGTATGTCTTCTTTTTTCATGTCTTTTCCTGACCCGTTCAGTATTAGATAAGAACACAGAGCAGATAGAATAAAGTAGTCTTAAAGCATTTGAAGAAAGTTGTTTTTCTTTCATTACAACACAAATTAACAAATCAACTTTTGTCACTCCCGTCTTCTGTTCCTGAACCCCCCCTTCACCTCCAAATACTTTCATTTTCCAACTTCTCATCATTAAATCTTCAACCCTATCCACGCCCCCATTCCTCCTCATACCTTTATGTAACTTACCTCATGGCTTCCAACACTTCCTTCCCCATCTTATTATTCTCATACCACCCATCAACCTCCACCCCTGTAGTCAATAACTCCAACGAGCTGGGCCCAGTGGAGGAGCTGGCCCTGTCCGCCAATGAGACCTCAGTCACTTTGTCCAACCTCAGGCACAGCACACGCTACAAGTTTTATTTGAATGCCAAAACAGTCAGGGGAGCAGGCCCCACCATTTCTCAGGAAACTGTCACCATCATGGACGAAGGTAAGTCAGCAAACGCAGACAACTGCAAGTAAATGTTTTCTTCATCTGGGAGACTAGACGATCACTTAAGATGATTATTAGATATGATGATTATTGTTTCTACAATTCAGGTAATGAGGGTTATACATGCCGTTAATATACAGAACATCTTTACAGTATGACATCTATGCCAATTTCAAACACATCGCACAGTTCTTAAAAACACCAAACTTCATTTATGCCTTCACCTAGCTTGCTTTCATCAGGGTGGTTGATGGTTGAGTTTTGTGAAAATTTGGTCTTAATGTAACACATTTTTTTGATGGCTTTTTATGTCACTTCTTCTTGTTTTATCCACAAGACACAGTAACATCAAACGTTCTTCTTCTTTTTTAAGCAAAATGATGATGTAATGTTTTTGTTATCTCCAGTTCTGTGATGGTCTGAAAAGTTTAAAAAAAAATTCAAATCAACCTTAAAACATCCACCTTCCTGATTTTGGTAAACTAGCCCAACGTGAGTTTCTCCAAGTGTTTTGGACTCACCTCAAAGTGAGGGATTTTATACTGTCACATAACTCCAAACTATCAATATGCTGTTTTCCCCCCAAGAGTTATGTTCTGTTATATGTCTTTTGCACTGAGTTAAATGATTGTCAGAATCAGAAAATCGTCCAATATTTGATTTAACCTTAATTTAACCAGGAAAGAAGCTTGCTGAGATTAAAAATCTATTTTTTCAGAGCGTCCGATAAGGGTTCATGTGTGTGTCATATTCTTAAGACTCAAAAACAGCATTAGTTCATTCCAGTTTCATGTGCAAAAATCAGTTTTATATGAACATCAATAGAATATTTATTATTTTTTTAATTTTAGTAAGATATAAAGCAGTTATAACTTGAATTTTAGATTATGCATGTATTCCTGTTATCAATCCTGTTTTTGACTAATCTGTTTACAAAGATATATATCCATAATCAGATGAATTCTTAGCTACAGTCTCACAATTTTTAACATTGTAATATTTTTGTTCACTTACAATGTTCATTGTCGGTCTATATAGTACAAAGCACACAATTGTATTATTCATTGTATTACAATCTTTGGCTGTAGCATTTTCTGTAGCATGATTAGCTCTTCATTCAAATCCAGTTATTTGTAGAACATGAGTGTGATCCAGTTGCATTGTTACACAAGGTGACCCACACTTTTCTAAAACTTCTGACTAGTCGTCTGTTACATCACCCAGCACGATCACATGAATGTCTTAATGTTACACTTACTTAAAGTGACATACTGTAGATGAAAGGGGAGGGGGGGGGTTATCCCAAAGTGACCCCTGTCCTGTTGTTTCTCTGTGTCCTGTTTCTCTCTACAAGCTCTAATATCACAGCTTGACGTAGATGTGGGCACCGGTGTCGGTGGTATCTACACTGCTGCATGTTTTAAAGATATAGCCACTGCTTAAAAAAAAAAAGCATGCAGTCCTCATCTTTAAGCAATTTCCCCTCGTCTCTATCAAACTCTGCGGCCCACCACAATGCTCCGCTGAGTTCAAAGCTGTGGAAGTTCAAAGCCACACAGATAAAGATGCTGTGTGACGTTTGGCTTTTTAATGCCATGTGATAAAAGTAGATGAGTCTTTTCAAAGCTCTCGGCTGCTTCTTTTTTTTTTCCTTCCCTTTTTTTTTTTGTACGCTGCCTTTGGCTACTTTGACCCCGCTTCCCGCTGCATGGCGAGAGTTTGCCTGGCATGCCAATGAACTGTGTCCACTGTGTGTCATGACTTCAGTGTATGTCGTGTCGTGCTTGTTGAGAGTGTCTGTGTGTGTGCGTTTGTGGTTCCGTGTTTACCCTCTCCGTGTTGTTTACAGGAAACACCCAAACCTCTCATCCCATTGCACGGCCTCCTCCTCACCATCCACACAACAATGGTACAGATACTGCTGTGATGATAGCACACTAAATGCCTGATTTGTTACATGATCAGCTTTGTGTTGTCCTTGCTGGTTGACATAGTTCTTCCCATTTGTTATGCTATTGTGTAAAGCTAAGAGGGTTTAGATTCAGTGACACTAAGACGTTTAATGGGAATGTAATTCAATCAGAGGAATTGATTGCAAGTTATTGGATTGTCCTTTGCCCAACAGATCAATCTTTGATGGTTGTCTTTTCTCTTGTGTGCTCAGCAATGCCCGCGAGTCCTTTCGGGAACGTTAACTACTCGGTGGTAGACGACGGGGCCCTGATCAGTTGGGATTTCTGGGGGCCGGAGAAAAACGTTTATGTAGAATACAGATTAGAGAACAGTAAGCAAAGCCACACACCTCTGTCTATCACACATAGGTGACAGGAGATCCCTACAATATAATTAGCTTGTGCAGGTGAATAGAAATATTGGCAGTCATGTGGAAGCTGGGTCCTGCCAACATGGACCCAGATGTGATAAACATGGCCGCCTGTGATTGGATTGCTGATTTCCCCACACAGCCCTCGATTTTCCCCGTCCTGTAATTGACTGGGTTTGCGTGCATCTCCCTCTGTAATCACGATGCAAGTTCTGCAAACAAACATCATAAAAGCCGAACAAACATCCCTCTGATGCCAATTGATTGTGACTGAAGTGCTCTCCATTGTTTCTATCCACCTGCAGTGAGGATGAAAAAAATGTGTTGTCGTAGTGTGGCTCTCTCACATCCACTGTTTAAAAGATTCATTTGGGAATATCATAATCATGGATCCCAGTCACAGAAAATGTTGTCATCAAACACATAATCTTGTGCTCATTAGCCGAACAGATTTCATACTAAGCTCATCACAACCTGGAAGTCGACGGTGGCCTTGAGACATCTACGCAGTGTGACCCAAGAAAACACAAACACACACAAATAAACTGAACAAAACCAAAATCAACAAATGGTTCTCTCACCATGTTCAACGGCAATACCTTAAATCTGAATCCATGGTGTTTCCACACTGCAGAGCTTTCAGTTGAATGCTTACATAGACCTGCTAACATATTCATGTATTCACACCATGTTTATGAGCTTAATTTACAATGTTAGCATGCTTACACTTCCTGTTTCAGGCTTATCAGCTTTTCATTAGGTGGTCAGGGTGCCATGAACAGATGTATTTAAAACCATGATTATTGAATTTCATGGCAGCCAATTGGACAAGTGCTGAGAGATTTAGGAGTAAGTAGGATCCATTCTTCATTAGTTACTATGATTGTCACCCTTTAATAGCCACACACTCATTAGATTTGACATGTTTCCGTCAGTGTCTGACCAATGGGCTGACGTAGCTAGCATGGCTAGAAAATGCTGCAATGTGAGAACACCACAAAAAAGTACTGTAAGATCTGATGTGTTTCCGACCTCATTTTTGGTGTGTTTTTGCTTTCTCATTTTTCCTGGATTGAGCTTCCAGGGCCACCGTAAAGATTCCTTGATAGACTTAAATCTTTGAATATACCCATGAATATCACCAGTTGGAATTTAACATAGGAGTGAAGTGTCATCCCATAACACTAGATTACATTTTCAAGTAACTACTTCCAGTCATATCATGATGTCCCTGACCCAGTTGTGCCTGTTCCCTCAAACGCTCCTCTCTCAATGAACGTCCGTCCTGCAGGTGAAGGTGAAGAGGAGTGGCAGAAAGAGCTTGTGAACGGCTCTCAGAACGTTATGCTGAAGGGCTTAAAGGGGGGCCTCTCCTATAGGGTGCGTTTGGTGGCCAAAGGTCACCACGACCAGCCGCTCCACCAGTCACAGGAGTTCTATGTCAAGGTCCCAGGTGAGGCAGTTCCCTGGCGCTCGGGCCCGGCCTTGCCTTGCATCGTGTAGAATGTGTTGTAGTTTGTGGCGTTGTGTAATTGTAATCCGGTTGAGCATGGGTTTAACAGATGTGTTGTGGTTGCTCCGTATGCCAGGCATGAACTGTAGTGATCTAGAGACAGGGAGTAGCTGCTTGCATGATCGTGTGGTTGTAAAGCAGCATACTTCAAGTCAGTCTTTAGATTTGGCTTTTAGAGAATCTTAGTGAACTTATTACCCCTCACAGTAACCCCGTGTGAAAAGTACATGTTTGTGTGTTGTCTGTGTGTATCTCTGTGTGCACGTGTGAGAGGAGTATTGATTTCCTAAAGTGTGTACTAATGTGCTATCAATAATGCTTACAATTCACCTTTAGCTTGAGCTAGCAGATTTCTAACTCGTCTAAGTCGTCTTTCAGTAACAAAAAGCAAACGTGATCCACTCATGAACTGAAATCTCTAACAAGCACATACTAAGACAATGACACTCATTACTGGTTTGTTTTAGCAAACATCATTATGGACAAATGTTTCCCATGACAGCAGGGTGAAGATCATCCAATCATAAATGTCGATGTAAATGTTCCTTCCTGTTCTTTCCTCTCGCCAGCTGTGGCCAGCAGACAGGTGGACATTGCCACTCAGGGATGGTTCATTGGCCTCATGTGTGCCATCGCTCTGCTCATCCTGATCCTCCTCATTATCTGTTTCATCCAGAGGAATAAAGGAGGCAAATACCCCGGTGAGTAGTATTAGCACAAACACCACCAGGGGCATTCTGTGCATACTCTCCTAATCATTTGCACCTAAATGTAAACCCACATGCTGTATGTGCCAACATTAATTAAGTTCAGATTTCACACAGGAGCCATGAGTATTGGCAGGTTGGCTCTGAAAGCAGAGATTGGAAGAAAAATGTTTTTTACTGACTAACTTGAGTTCAATAAGAAACTTTTCTCATTACAGCATGTGAAAGTTTCTTTTTTTTTTTTAATCGGCCGATCGCAGAGACTATTTAATGAGAAATCTTGACGTTTTAAAATCATTAATTTGGAAGGCCTGAATTAAGTCAAATGTTGTTATTACAAAAATATCATGTTTGAAGGTGCACTATGGAGTTTTGGCAGAGAAATTTCATAGTTGGAGAAATGTGCAGATTCTGTGGTCTATGTTTATTACCCGATACACAAACTCAGAGGAAAATTTAGTCCCTGTAACACTGTTTGAAAATAAAATGCTACACGAGAAGTTCTGGTGGGGGGCCAGCAACAGTGAAACCGTAACTCTCCTGGTAGCTTTTCAGCTCTAAACAGTGTTCCAGGGACCCATTTTTTCCTTTGAATAAAGTTTGTGAAATTAGTTCAGAAAATATAGCAGAGCATTGTTTCACTTTCAAAACTTTCACTTTCCACCAGCAGATCTCCATATTGCACCTTTAAACTTGATATTCTGGTGTGCAGTTAAAAAAAAGAACATGAAACAACTTATATTCCATTGTGTATACATTTTACACATTGGACCTTAGTTATCGTCTAAATCTCTTTCTCTTCTCTCTTCAGTCAAAGAAAAGGAGGACGCGCACACAGACCCAGAGTTCCAGCCCATGAAAGATGATGACTGTACTTTTGGGGAATACAGGTGAGAGAAAGTGCTCCGGCCTCTGGAACCCCCCCCCCCCCAGAGCCGATTTTTACCCATCAACCCCTGCCCCCGTCCATGCTTTCTGCTCAGATCTGCTCTCTCTGGCTGGGCACTCCCTCCTCCTCTCAACCTTTACAGCTGACCAATAACAGACGCAGGATCACCAATAACAGAAAAACAACATAATAAGAAGGAGAAGTGCCCCTCATCTGGACTTCTTCCACCCTGAAGCACAAGATTTTTTTTCTTTCTCTGGGTTCTGGGACATTCTGGATGCTACCTGTGTTGGACTCTCACTGTGTGTGTACTTGATATGATATCTCAGTGTCATTAAAGAAGCTGGATTCTTCAGGTTCAGGGGATCTGGGGGTTTAAATAAGACTGTCAGGAAAATAATATATAAGCTAGTTTAATTTACAACACATCTTAAACCTTCCTCAAGTATCAAATCCCTTTCAAACTAATAAGCTACTCATATACATCCTGTGTACAGTAAACATAGTATTAACACTTTGCCTCGTGTATTGCTACTGACCCACAACCCTCGTAGGCCTGAAAACAACTGAAATTACATCATCGTTTATTTACAGCATTTATCCAGCTATGCTTGTTAGCATCCTCTTTCTAGACTGCTTCTCCAGTCGCTCGCAGATTTAAAAAAAAAAAAAAAAAAAGCACTTTACTTCTGTATAGCTAGCATTTTTTAATTGATTTTTATAAGTCAATTTCTAAGATGTTCTTGCTTTTATATTTTATATTCCTTTTTGTAATACGTATACATAAATCTTCTTTATGGATTTTATTCTAAGACAAACACATATTGATATATAGCTATACATAATATGATATGCATGGTGTGAAGACCTGATATTGAAAATTTGCTCTCAAGGCAATAATGTGTCGAATGGAATATTGTTCATATATAGAGATATACAATATATAGATGCATATGGATATTATATGAATTATCAGCATGTTTGACAGAAGCAATGATCATTGTACAAACGCTGGTTAATGCTGTTTTATCACAGGCCAGTAGCCATTCTTTATAAAGAAATGCTTCTTAGAGGATAAGGCTGGTGACATTGTACTATTTGGTTGAAGTCAACAAACAAATTCATCAAATAGACCCGAAACTTCTTCTACAATTTGATTGTGGCATTCTGCTTCAAGCCAAAGACTGAAATCTTTCAAAGATGGCAAAAAACTTTTTTTGTTTTTACAAGTAATGTTAGATAAGTTCCTTTTAATCAAAGTTACTAGGATATTATTGATTTAAAGCTCCACTGAGCAGATTTCAGTTTGTGTTGATTTTGGCGCCTCCTGTGGACAAAGTGGGCTTTTCTCTTTGAGGATATTGTCCTGTACCCGCTTTAAGTAGTATTTTTTTTACCAAAAATGTCCATCCTGACCTTTAACAGTCAAACGTGTTAGTCGTGGAGAATCGTTGCCGTATACAATGAAAATAAAAGGGATGCTTCGACAGACAAATCTAAACACTTTCAGACACCTACTGTACCCTGCAGCAGCAGTTTTAAGCAGTAATATAAATATAAACTATGTAGAACTAATCAGTATTCTTGCTGATGATCTAGTTTGTTCTTCATCAGTATTATTAGTCTGTTTTATAACCAGTTCATAACTCCTCACAGGAACTTTAAAATAGTTTACATTTCTCTATCTGATGTGATGAAACATAGTGTTGGCCAGTATATCACTGTGGCCTTTTTTGATGTGTTTTTAGAGGAATTATTTTTGTTATCACAGCATTCAGCACAATCATTTTTTAAGGTTTAGAAAAGGAGCGTTTTTTTCTACTAGTTCATCATAAGTTCGAGTCTATTAGATGGATTTGTTGACGACAAGAGAAATGTGGAATATCATCAGAATTATCATTTAAAGCTCCTGTTGTTTGTTGAGGTCAAAGAGAGATCTATATTCACTGCAGGGGAATCTCTGAAACAGAAATAGACTCAACGAACACAGTCGACAACAAATCACAAGGCAAAGTGTATAAATATTATAGTGCCTTTGTGAGAGTATACTTTCTATCCATGCTGTTTCATTAAGCTCAGCTGGAATCTAACATTATGTCAATAAAGGCGTCAGATATCTGGACCCACTGTTGTTGTGTGACTTCTGAAGAACGAACTTTAAGTCCAGCCTCGACGTGTACAGTACATGGTGTATGTGCCTGTTAGTGTGACTGTTGTGTTGTGTGGGATCTCAGCTGGATCTCCTCATCTGATCGCAGAGTGTAGCTCTCAGCAAGGTAAGGGGGATGTTCTGTGAATCCAGCATGTGACGAGGGTCAGCGGTTAGTCGAGTCACTGTGGAGAAAAATGCTCACTGTGTAATCTTCCTGTTTTTTGTCATCAAGTTTAACATCTGGTCATAAAGCCTTCATCATGCACTGCACATACTGTAAGGACATCTTTTCAGCCAGTAATCTTGTGTTTTCACTTTGCTAATTTAATCCCTGGAAATGCTAATTTTGCACGCTGATTGATATCTCCTATTTAGATCTAAAATTCAGCATCATGATGGCTTTGTGATCTTTTCTCATTGATGTTCAAATCATGTATGTGGAATGTTATTCGACTATCTGACATCCAAAGAAAAGTTTCTTTGCAGATTGTTCATGCATTTTGCCGATCTGTGATTATTATCATGCTTGCTTTGGGGGATGTTTGGCTGAAACCTTGCTTTCCAAGTTTTATTCACATCATTGCCTTGGATTTTTTCTGTTGTTCATCAACACCTCTGTTTTATGGGGGGGGGGGGGGGATTGCTTTTGTCAAACAACATTTACCACTTCATATTTGGTTTCAGGGGGAATTTGAACAGGGTATGGTTGCTTGAGCTTTATTCCCCTGTTGCCTGACAGAAACCAACTAATCATTCATAGCAGCCATTTTTTAGACATGGAGCAAGCCAAATTCAAATTTGCCTCTTGTTCAGTGGGCAGGAAACATTCACTGTTGCTTATTAATGAAAACTGCTGAATTTGCATCTTTAAAAACTAAACACTCAAAAAGAGGGAAATTACTTATTTTCAATCTGGAAATGACTTAGAGAATTCTGTGGATATATTTGAGTGCTCCATCTAAAAAAAAAAAGTGATCACTAATCTCCTTGTTGCATCTATCACACCATCTCACCTGTAACACCTGCATGTTATTTTCTCCTTCAGTGACAATGAGGACCATAAACCGTTAAAAGGGAGCCGCACGCCTTCTAATGGGACAGTTAAGAGAGACGACAGTGACGACAGTTTAGTTGACTACGGGGAAGGAGGAGACGGACAGTTCAACGAGGACGGCTCTTTTATCGGACAGTATAGTGGCAAAAGTGTCAGCAGGGAAACTGCTGAGGGCCACGAGAGCTCAGAGGCACCGTCCCCTATTAATGCCATGAACTCCTTGAACTCTTTTGTGTAGCCAATCGGTGCTCACAAGACATGTATCATGACTGCTCGATCCTTACATCCCAGCACTGCTTGGCTTCATGATCACAGCTCCCCAGTGCAACACAACACACAAAATACCCACAGCTCATCAAGACTTGTATGCTTTATTTTCTTTACAGTATATATAACAAGCAGCATTCAGGAAGGAAGTAGGACGTAGCTCAACCTGATATATGTGCATGAAATACCTGATATGACGTAAATCCATATATTAATTAACATTTTTAATATTAACAATTGTGGCATTCTTACCACAGATTTCATATGGACTATGCAGTGCTTGTCTGAACTTTATTTGTTATGATCATATATCTACTATGTTCAAATAGTAATCACTGTCTTCAGTAAATACCTATTGCTCCATGTATTTCTTTCCAACACAGAGGCTTGTACCTGAATCCGTATTTAATCATGTAATTCCTTAATGTATTCCATTATGCATTGCATTTACAGCGCACAAGGCAGATCATGTATAGTGTGTATATATAAATATAAAGTGATCTATCTGCAAACTGAATATGTGGAGCAGAGCACACACCATGCTTGAGAATGCTGCATTGATACATCCTCATCTGATACACTCTGTTGAATGATCCAGCTGCACACATGATGGAGGGAAATGCTGCATGGCTTGTTGTACAACCTCCATCACCTTTGCACCTGCATGTAACCTCCTCTTATTGAGCTTGACCCTGAAGGCCGGTGGGGAGGGTTGGGGGTGGGGAGGCTGAGGATGTGACAGCTCAGTCCCCTTCAGTGCGTCTTGGGAAGGTAGTGCCTTTTTGAATCAATCCTAAAGTCTCTTCTCATCAGAGTTCAGTGACTGGAAGAGAGACAATAGTCAGACTGCAGATGTATTATCCAAGAATGGATAAAAGAAGCCAGAGAAGAGGACTCTGTAGAGGGAGGAATCATTCATATACTCTTTGTCATCTTATTTTAAAGACGCCTCCCAATTCCTTGAGACACAGGACTGGCTTTTATGATTTCCGGAAGAAACTAAACGCACCCCCAAAGGATCAGCCTAAAACATTGTTTAAACTATGTCTGGTGCAGTCATTATGTACAGTATCTGATTGTATTTCTGCAGTGTGTGATTGTATTGGCATTAATGAGTGCGAAGGTGTGTGAGTGTTTTGTGTGTGTGCGTGCGTGCGTGCGTGCGTGCGTGTGTGTGTGTGTGTGTGTGTGTGTGTGTGTGCGCGTGTGCGCGTGTGTGCGCGTGTGCGCGCGCGTGTGTGTGTGTGTGTGTGCGTGCGTGTGTGAAAATGCTGTACATTATCCAGTCCCTTATTAAGCAAACATTGTTCACTGATACTAACCACACTTGAGGGCCTTTGGATGGGATCAAGTTTTCTTTTTTCTTAACTTGCATCAAGTTTTTTTTTTTTTTTAAAGTTGTGTAGAATATCTGTTGAATTTGTACATACATGAATTGATTGTACAGGGACAAGCAGCTCATACGGAAGCCTAAGAGGCAATATTGTGCATGATATGGTTTAACCTGTTGATAGGGCTGTATTAAATATAGAGAAATTGTAGAGAATAAATATATATAATCTTTTTTTTCTTGCTGTGCACAGTGTAAATTGTACTGTAACTAACTGGAAAGGAAAATGCATTCTGTATAAAATTGAGTTGTCATTGTATTTTGAATTGCTTGTTGGCGAGTTACATAACTTAGGTTATGTACATCAACACTTTTTGATATAAAGGATGATATTATTCTGATTTGTATTGGTTTTACGTGGTCCCATTATACCGCCAAAATGATGCTCTTTCCTGACAGTATTGCAGATGGTTTTTTGTATTTAAGAAACAGATTTGTACTAACAAATTCTTTCTTTGTCTCTATTTAAGTTTCTCCTTTTAGTGCAAGTATGAAATTGAAGCTTCTGGAAATATAATGAATGAATAAATATCTGCTTTCATTTCCGCTTTCTGACTCGTCACTTTAAATTACAGTCCCCCCCTCTCAAAATGGGTTATGCTCTGAATGACATTTGAATCATGCAAACCATGCTATTCAGTATGTGACTGCTCCATGCTACATTATATAAACCCTAAATGATTCATTACATAACAAAAATGAAACCACCTACAGCAACAGGAAATGCTCTCTTTATGCATTTTTGTTCTGTATCTTTATGTTAATCACGGGTGATGATTTATCCAGCACAGACCATCAACAAGAGTGTAGACTCAATGTTCTTAAAATGAAAATACTTATTGATGCATATTGGTACCAGGGCCTGAAATTATATGGAACAAAATTGTAAGGAGGAATAAAAGAAAAGAGAAAAGCATGCAGCAACATTTGCTGCAGGATTTGTCTAGTGTAATGTTCTTTGCTTTGTTTTTATTTTTTTTGCTTTTTGTCTTATTTGGAGACTCTTCATTTTTGATTTCTTAAATGGTTGCATGGGAAGATTTGACCTGCTACAAATGCATACATAACCATGTGAACAACACATCTATACCTGCATCCTCAAATATACACTGAACAGTAACTCTACTCTGTACAGTGGGCAGAAGCTGAGGTCTGTGGATGTATGGATCTCTACACCTGCCTCAGTGGAGCAGCTATAGAAAGCCTTATGGAACGCGACAGTTGGCCTTCATCTTTTTGGCCCTCACTTGTGGCGCTTTCCTCTTCAATTACAGTCATATTGTCAGGGTAATAGTGAGAAAGCATCCCACCATCTGGTGCATTATCACACTGAAATGGTGTCAGGAAGCAGTAAAGTCTGGTATCTAGCGTCTTGGAATTACTTTCTCTCCCTCTGGCAGGGACTCTTTGCCTTCTGTTCATTCAGGTACATTAATTTCTTTTCCCGGGTAAAGTTGTTTGGGGATTTTCACAGCATTGTTTGCAGTTAATAACAGCAGTGATTGAAAGGGGATTGCTGCTCTGTATATTTAGGAATTATGTTTGTTTTTCCAAACTGCAGTTAATGCTTATTTTATGAAGCATGGGTGCATCATTATAAGCTGCAGCTGTTTGGAAGAACATTAACAACTCCAAATGTTTTTTGTGTTTGGATGAGGATACATCAATTTGTTTATTTTTAGACAGGTTTTATTCTTGACTTTACTGCCACCTAGTGATGTGAGGCAATTGCACTTAATGCTGATACAAGCAACAGGCTCTTAAACATTGAATAGAATATATCAAGCAGGGGGAAATGACTGAACTGCTCAGGGAAATTCTAACTGATCAAAGAGACAACAAAAAGAGTTCATGTTGAAACCACAGCTGGACCATGCTTTAAAATACATTGTATTGAGAATATACTACTCACCTTTAATCTTAGCTGATATTCTGTAAACATACAAATTTAGCACTCTGTTGACATCCATGTCATCTGTTACAAAGGCTTCGTGTAGGAGGATTAGTTCTTTATTTCCATGGCAAGAGAATCACATTATTTGTCTGTCAATTGGTGATCATTGCCACCAAACAAGCAGCTGTCCCATTACCCCTCTGAACTCCACCCAACACCTCCTCCCTGACGTCGCAGCCAGCCCTCCTCTCTCTTTCATCATCTCATTCCTCATCCAATCCTCTGTGGATTCATTCTGTGTCGGCTGTTCGTCTGCCATAGCATCCATTAACCATTCCAACATCCTCTGCGTCCAGCTCCTTGATTTACAGCGGGGCGGAAAGCCTGGTTTGAATTGATCTATAGATTTATGTCTACCCCCAGTCTGCTTTCAAAGGGGGGGGGGGGGAAGGAACATTAACATGATCTCATTGTCCTGTTTCCAAACAACCTGGGAGCTTTGATGTGCATCATTTGCATCCCGGATACTCAAGTGAAGGACGTGATCTTTCAGCGCCTACGTTCTTCACAATAATGTGTTACGCGAGAGAGGGATGAGAAAGTCAGGTATTAGAAAAACACCATCACTTAGTTTCTGATATTTTGTAAGTGTGTGCTGAGCTTTCAGGGCGCCTTTTCCTCTAATGTAAATGCCGGAGCCATTGTGCCTTTATGTAAATTTGCCCTTTTCTGATGCACTGGGAGCCGGGGTGGATAATTGTTTATGATTACTCTGTGACATTTCCATATGGCTGACGCTCAAACACACTCATCTGTCAAAACCAAGCTGTTTGTAGCCTGAAAAGGTTTGTTTAGGCCAACCTTAGAAAACCCAACTGTACAAAGGATCCAACCGCTTCCAGTGAAACACTATCATTTCTTCAGCAGTGTTTCTAATAAACCCAGGACACTGTTTTAAAGAAGGGTCTGATAGGTTAAGAGATATCCCCCTTATTGCTCCCACCTCTGGGATGGATAGTATAAAGTGAGGGTGCTTTGTTCTATCGATCTCACTCTCTCTTTCAACCCACTTCCCCCCTTCTTCTTTCTTTTTTATCAAGATAGCACAAGGATTATAACCCTATGCACACACTTATTCCTATCCCCCATTCACCCCTCATCATTTCCCATGGGTATTTGGATTGGGTGGGTGGGGGTTTACCTTTGCATGAGCCCCTGTGGAGATCATTTGGGGTAAATCATATTTACCCTCACCCTCCCTCCCTCCTCTTCCTCCTCCATGTCCCCCCCACACATCTCCCCTTTGCCACGCAGATAGATGACAGCCACCTATTCTTTCCTCCAGACAGCAGGGTGTTTGCTGTTCCTCTTATCCACCCCAGAGACCGGCCTTGTAACAGTGTTATTCACCAGCAGGATCTGTCTCTATTTGCTCTGCCATGTTGTAAGAGGAACAAAAGTGTTTGTCTGAGACATGAATACACCAAGATCATGGATAACCACAAAATGATATCCTTTTTCGGGTCCTGTATTATGCAGCTTTTTTTTGGGATGTAATTACATTTTTTTTCTGTGATACTGAATCTTTTCTTGGCTATTTTCTATGGACTGACATATTTTTGTATTACTTCCCCCAAGGCTTCAGATAATGTTTTTTTTTTTGCATGAGCTACAATCTCAAAGGAAACTTTTTAAAAACTGAAAAGGCTAAACAATAACAGCCTGAAGTAACAAAATACCAAGACTCCACCATAAAGCGCTATAACCTTTATTTAGTTTCCACACATTCAAAAGAGACGCTTTTCATATTTTCCCCCCAAAATTCACCAAGGGTGCTAAGTCCTTCAATTTATTCTTCCCTGCTCTTTCTCAAGATTCCTGCATTATTTATAGGCCGCCGCCACTGCAGATTATTATTTGCTGTGTGGTGTTTACATCCAAGATTTAAATCTAATCCCAGGGGATTGAGATGGTCTCATGTTTGGACTGACACATGGGGCATTGTAATTAGCGAGGTGTCCTTTTGATATCTTCCTGATGAAAAAACAGGCCGACAGTTAACATGCAGGCTGCAGTCACACACTAATTCTACCCCAATTCATCTACCCCATAGTGGTGCTCCGCCATGCAAATAAATGTATCTGCTCCTTTCTTACATCTTCTGGCTCTGAAATGTACGCACTAAATGTGGAACAAAACTCAGACAACCACACTATCAACTATTAAGATTCTCCATACTAAAAAGTGGTTCATTGCTGCAAGTGCAAATGTTTTACGCAGTCATTGTAAGATAAAACAGTATTCAAGCCTTATAAGCCTTTTACTTGAATCTGAGATGTGCTTCAGGTTTGTCCTGTTAAAAAAAATAACATTTGCAAAAATCAGGGTCAGGAACAATGACTCAAGTAGACGCTAACACCAAGGTTGAAGGGTAAATCAGTCTTAAGGCCAAAATTAAGGAAATAGAGTCATTTCTGGGACTGCAGTCACACAAATACTAAAGGCAGGAAAGCAGACAGACAGGTATTTTAAAGGTCATAAGAAAAAGCTAGACAATCTAGAAAAACTGTGCATTGTGTTGGGGGAATAGAAGTTCATAAAACTGGGGTTGAGGTGTGAGGACAGGAGATTGGTTGCGGGTGATGATTGGATAGTGCTACTAGTGGACAGGTAAGGAATGGCAGGTTTTGACAGTAGAAATGAGACTATTACAGCTTAAGTGAAAACAGATAGCCTATGTTAAAAGTTCTTCATTCAAGGGATTATTATCTTGTGCAAAGAAGACAGGCCTACTAACCTGTAGGCTACGCAAGATAAAGCCTATTTTGTACTTGGAGCCTTTTAGTGGCAGGAATGTGTTTAGTTAGGCCTATTCAAATTCAAATAACTTTATTTATCTGTTAGGAACTTCATTTGTGTAAAAGAGCATCAGTACGCATACAGCTAGACACAAAAACAACAGCAGAAATACACACATACAAGTGGCTCTATTAAAAGCATGGTTAATAGGTCATAAATAATTGTTATGAGCGGTTAAATGAATGGGTCTTGAAAATAAATAAGAAATAGATAATTTGTTCATGAGCCTGATGGATGTGGGAGCAATGGCTCGATTAGTCCGGAAAGTGAGAGATCTGTATCTGTGGTCTGAGGGGAGACGGTTGTAGAGATGGCAGAGTGAGTGTGTGCTGTCTGAGGCTATGTGTTGTCCTTTTAGTTTTGTTCTCCTGTTGTAGATACTGATCAGTGGTTCCTGCTGCTGTCCGATTATTTTTGCTGCTTATTGTTATGATCCTGTTTAATGGGTTCCGATGAATGTTTGTCAGAGACCCAAACCAGGCTGTGATGTTGAAGGTTAAAACTGATTCTATAAAACATTTGTAAAATGCTGTCAGGACTGATTGGTGGACTTGAAATTTGTGGAGTTTTCTGAGGAAGAAGAGGCGCTGCTGGCACTTGGAGAAGATAAATTTGCTGTTGGGTTGGAAGGTGAGCCTGTGATCAATTATTGTCCTGAGGTATCGGCATGATTAGCTCCTCTCGCTCCCGTGTGTAGTCAGTCTGGTCAAATCTGCAGTAGATTTGGTTCAAGCTCTCTGCCATATTGACACAGACTTCTGCATCCCTGGCTTTTCCTTCCTGGAAGA